TCCGGCTTACTTTGAGAAGGTTACGTCTCTCTCTCTCTCTCTCTCTCTCTCTCTCTCTCTCTCTCTCTCTCTCTCCTTCTCTCTCTCTCTTTTTCCAGCTCTCTCCCCCCTCTCTCCCTTTCTCTCTCTCTCCCCCTCTCTTCCCCTCTCTCTGTCTCTCTCCCTGTCCAATTCTGTCTCTCTCTGTCTTTCTCCAGCTCTCTCTCTCCCCCCCAGCTCTCTCTCTCTCTCTCTCTCTCTCTCTCTCTCTCTCTCTCTCTCTTTCTCTCCTTCTCTGTATGTGTGTGCATGCTTATGTGTGTTTCTATGTGTGCATGTATAGTTTTGTGAATAAGTGTGTGGTTATGAAGAACATTTCACATGTCATGTTTTTATGTTCAATCATAAAGAGGTACCTCATGAGTCTGTGTATGTCTTGATGCTGTTACAAAATCAAGACACACAAATATTCATCAAGTACCATACCTATCATCAACCTCCCACGGTATTGGAACAGGAGAGTCATAGCCTTGTTAAAAACTCATAGCCTTCCGTTCAATAACAACCTCTATCGGTGGAAATGAATAAATTCACCCTCATGAAACTGAAGATGAATTTCACTATATTTTCTATCGTTCATACTTTGTCCATCAAAGGAAATTGTTAATTCCTCCCAGCCTGACACGGCCCAGTGACAGAAATATGCAATGTGCTTAATCAACAACCACACCACACTAATCACATTTTAATTTATCGGTCTAAGCTTTATTTGAGCTAGTTCCGTGCTGATCCAAAGTGCGATCACATGTAAGTGTGTATGTTATATTTGGCTGTCAGTTAACTGTGTAAATGAAAAGATACAACTAATTAGCTATTTTTTAAACAACTTATCGAACAGTCTTCAACCGCTATGGATTTGCTCTTGTAAAATGATCTTGTCTGTTGTCGTAAACAGAAATGTCTGGGAAATGAGGTTTATTTATCTTATAAATCAGAAGGAAAACTTAAGCTTTTGTTTGCGTGAGAGTTTTATGGCACTTAGAAAACACAAACAGGTCATATAAGTGCCGAAGACTAGAGGAAATACTTGAGAGTGAGAGTAGCATACAAAGAAGAGACGGAGGAGAGATAGGGAAGACATATGTTTGATAGAAAATAGAAAAGAAGGAGAATACCAAAACAGAGCACCTGCCAACCACACCCAAAAACATTATTACATGTATTGTCTTTTTTGATATGATGGTACTTGTTTGAAGAAAAGAATCAAATGTGAAAACAGAAACACCCCCTCCGAAAAAATAAACGAAAAAAAAAAAAATAAAACCTAAAACGACTCGGAAAACATAAGTAAATAATTAATTAAGCCCAACTCGGAAAACATTATCAGATATCTTTACAAAACAACTTGGGTTGCTCAGTCCACAGAATAAGACAACGTAAAAGTTTTGGTTTCTTTAAAAAAAAAATGATTACGCTTTCAACTTGAACGATCATTTCAGCTGTAGGAAAGCATGGCTCTTTTTTGACAAGATGAAAACCTTTGGCTAGGTGAATTAAAAAAAAGCCTTTGTGCGTGTGTGTGTTTATGTGTGTGTGTG